GTTTAATTTATATTAAATGGCAAGAGTTTTTTAATTGTCCTGATCTAAAGCACAATAGGTGTTGAAATTTCACAAACAAATAACTAACGTCAATTTATTGAATATTTTTAAATTTTTAAATTTCATCTAATAGGATTTTAGAACTGTATAACTTTTTTCTTAAATTATTCAAATTAATAATTATAGTAGCTTTTTAGTAACGGTGTTAGGACATACGTAAAAAGTTATAAAAATTTACAGTAGCTTTGTATAATTAAAGTTTATATTTAACTAAAAGATTAGAGGGTATATTTAAGGTTAAACCATTTTTTAATCCTCCAAAATAATAAATTTTTAAAAATTTATAAATGAAAAGTATTTTTTAAATTATTCAAATTAATATTATTAGTCATACTAAAATATTATGAAAAGTCTTAGACTTTTAATAGCGTTATTAGAACGTATGAAAAACGCTATAAAATGTTTACCATAAGATTTTTCATTAGTTATTGTATCTACGTCATATAATTCGAACAATATTTAATTAAAAGATTAAACATTAAAAAATTTGATTACTTTCAACTTTATAATTTAGGTTGAAGAGACATCAACTTGAGTATAGTTCAATTGACCGAAGATCTTCATTAGTCGTGTGGAGTTAGAGAGGAAGCATCTAGGAAGTTTCGTGAGGTATTAGGGCATACAACAAACCACATGGAGTATCCATCCATGATGATCTCAGTCCCATGTTGCTGCTGCTTTGTCCTTTGATAACAACCGCCCTGTCCTTCTCCTGTCTCCTCTATCATTTTATTATTGAAATTATTTAAAAATAATTTAAATAGTTCTAAATTAAATATTTAATTCATTTGGATGATTAAAGACGCGTTCGAGACTGATTTTCACCCGAAAAAGGTGAAGAAATTGTAATATTCAATCCCGAAATCTCGATCTAAAATATTTTACCAACGATGATAACGAACTATTAAAATATCATCACTAGTCCAAAAAAAACATTTATTCGCATTGTTGTAGGGAATGCCTCAATTTGATGGTCAGGAATTGAATTTGCAACACGTTTTCGGTCACATTCTGGGGCTATGAATTTGACACATGTTGAATTAAAATACAAAACTTAAAACACTTTCATTATCGGGCCATTTTGAAGTCAAATTCCATAGGGATTAACATTAGAACTTTTTTCCTAACACCACCGATATCACACACCATAATAGAAGACAAATATATAAATATTTGCCTATAATAAAAGATCAAATATGATATATATATATATATATATATATATATATATATATATATATATATATGAGATAAACTATAATTCAAGGCTAAATACCCTTAACAAAATCTAATAATTATAAGTACCCACTATAAGAATAAAGATTCTACAGAACAACACGAACACTCGTGTAATAGTTATCGAGCGTCTTATAATCTCATCTTAATTAGCATAAGATTCAAGATACAACCGAAGTGGAAAGGAAGATTTTTTTTTTTTTTTTGTTTTTCGAACATAAATGGGGTAATAATTTACATAATAATCATAATTATAGGTCGTAATTAAGAGTATGGATGAAATCTTGAACTAAGTAGAGACCCATAGTGGCTCCCAATGGAGCAGCTCTTTGCTTTGGCGACTGCTGCTACTGCAACTGCGCGGCCTTCCAAATTCTTCCATTCCCATTTCTTCAACTTCACCATCTTCTTGCCCCCTCTTTTCACTGTGTTTCACCAGATGAAGTTTAAGCCTGCCATGGCTACGTTCTGCATGGAAGTAGCTACTGCCAGAACCCGAGCTTACCTCGGCTCTCAACACCAGCCGCCCGTCTTCTCTGTAGGACTTCATTCTGATGCCTGTGGAGCCACTTATTGATGTCAATGGAGGTGGATATCTGGTGTCCTTTCTAATCGCTTTCTCGTGCACCCATGTCGAGTATCTGACCTTGGGACGAGAATTCTCCGCTTCCAATCTTAATAACGTGACGTCCTTCTCGCCCATGTCGCTCCCGCTCTCGCTGCCTAAGCTTTCCGTGCACATTTCTAAGCTTTTCTTGCTCAGCTTTGTGGATGAGTGCCTCACCAAAGGATGGATGTACACCTTGTCTTCTTGATTCCCATTGGAGAGAGCTTCAAGGAAACTCCACCCAACATGTTTTGCATTTTCTTCTGCTTCATCCGGGGAGCTCCTGCTGGGGTAGCTTGGCTTATGAGGAAACAAATGGATACTCAAAACATGAGACTCAACACAGGACTGCAGGCCTCGACCGACGCTGGAAATCATTTCGCTATATCCTTGAACAAGATCTCAATGGGCAGGGAAACGAGCCAACAGAAAAAACAGGGGAGTGTCAAGTTAAGCTCACCCCTAGTAGATGTTGTTCGGGGAATCCGACCTGAAGTTGGGTTGAAAACTAGAAATAGGTGGCTTAGAGAGAGGGAAGAGAGTAAGGGAGAGATAAGGAAACATGCAGGAGTGGAGAAGAAAAGCAAGGAAATGATAGAAATTTATAGTTGAGAAGAACCCTAAGGCTTGAGAAGGCGTGTAGGGCCAACACTACAAAAGCTGAGAGACAACTTCATGCCCACAAAACATGTACAAGTCACAATCTTGAAGAAATAATGGACAAACGTGTGTCTATGAAATTAAACCCACAATGTAGCTGAAGTTTGGTGGCCACAGCATATATCAGCTAAGATAATCAGCCCTTTCCCTTATCGTTTCTAGTTAACCCGTTGTTAGGAGAGGGGATCTTTATAGTTACCAAAAACAAAAACAAAATGCAAACCAAAAGCTGTTCCTTTCAAAAGGAAAACCAAACAAACCTATGAAAACAAAGGTCTAACAGTAATAGTCTAAGCCCACCACTAGCCGATATTGTCCGCTTTAACCCGTTACGTATGACCGTCAGTCTCATGGTTTTAGAACGCGTCTATTAGGGAGAGGTTTCCACACCCTTGTAAGAAATGCTTTGTTTCCCTCTCCAACCGATGTGGGATCTCAATCCACCCTCCTTGGGGGCCTAGTGTCCTCACTGGCACACTGCTCGGTGCCTAGCTCTGATACTATTTGTAACAACCCAAACCCACTGCTAGCAAATATTGTCTGCTTTAGCCCGTTACGTATCACCGTCAGTCTCTCGGTTTTAAAACGTGTCTACTAGAGAGAGGTTTCCACATCCTTGTAACGAATGTTTCGTTCCTCTCACCAACTAATGTGGGATCTCATAATCCACCCTCCTTGGAGGCCCAGCGTCCTCGCTAGCACACCGCTCGGTGCCTAGCTCTTATACCATTTGTAACAGCCCAAGTCAATCACTAGCAGATATTGTCCGCTTTAGCCTGTTACGTATCATCGTCAGTCTCACGATTTTAAAACACGTCTACTAGGGAGAGGTTTCCACAATCTTGTAAGGAATGCTTCGTTCTCCTCTCCAACCGATGGGATCTCATAATGGCTTTAGAATCTGAGGGAACTTCATTTCTTCCCCCTTTTTACTATTTTTTTGAAGTGTGAAACCCAGCTGGGAAATCACTATCCTCCCACGCAGTCCAAAGTAAACTTCATCACTGAGTTATCTAAATTAAAGTTTCTGACGAGGGACTGTGCTTTCAATGGCCATCCCTCCCAGTCTCTCAGCCTATGATGAACAGAACATTTTCAACCGACCAAATAGGCAAGTTGAGCAGCCACCGGCGAAATACAGTACCTTTAAATTAACTAGTAGGATAAGTGGCCAGTACTCAAATTCTTCTTTTCATCTCAATTGTACTCCTTAAGCCCCACCAATATATTATTAAAGAAAGCAACAACAGCTAATATATCACTCTCTGACAGCTTTTCAACATTTAATAACATGGGTAGTGTATGTTCTAGGACCACAGTTCATTCTATGGAAGATGATTCTTTCTTCCCAGAAAACACTAAGCCAACAGTTCATTGATTTAAGTTCATGAAAACAAGTTCTAATTAAGAATGAACCAGCGGCCATTTTGGATATTACATGCATGAATCATTAGTACAACAATGGAGAGAAAGAAAGGAAAACTGAGCTGTTTCACAAGAACATACAAAGCATTGTCACGATTGAAAATGGGATGAACGTGAAGAACCAAAAGAGAGGAAAGAAACTAACCTTTCTGAACAGAGGAGTTTTGGAAATGGAATCTTCTGATATTGGACTTGGAATCCGTCTCTTCTCGCATGTGATTTGTCATTTATGTTTCGTCGCCTGTTTATAGTTAGCCATCCATCATCACAGTTAGCCAATGCAAACCCTGCATATCAACTAGAAAGAGTCAACTAAAGGCAAAAGAGCATTTGGCCCCCAAACCATTAGGACCGTCCAACTTGCTTACTTTTATTTCAGTGTAACGGCCCAAGCCCACTACTAGCAGATATTGTCTTTCGAGCTTTCCCTTTCGAGATTCTCCTCAAGATTTTTAAAACGCGACTGTTAGGGAGAGGTTTCTACACCCTTATAAAAAGTGATTCTCTCCAATCGATGTGAGATCTCACATTCAGACTGACCAACCTCACTCAATAAAAAGCCCTCCAGACACATGAAGGGTAACTTTCAAACATCATTGTCTAGCTTTGTCACCCAAATGATAAAGAAGGGTGAAGAAGCATTCACGCCTATGAATATTTGTCTTGTATTAACTGTATATTTATTTACCATAAAATCTTCAACGGATCTAAAGGAATCAAACCAAGAAGGTGAAGGAATCAAACCAATAAGATGAAGGAATCAAACCAAAAAAAGTTGGTCCCTCCACTTTTCTCCCAGAAGTTTTGAGCCAAACAGAAATAAGTAAATAACATTCCAACATATGAGGTAGGCGTGTTTTCCTACAAGACTTTACTTCGGGGAAGTTAAGGAAAGACAAGACAGTTCTGTACAGAATCCATAACAGATCATTTGAATGCGTTCCTGCTTGCATTGTGTGATGATTTGTGATACTTAAGCTTCAAAAGTTCCATCAAGACAAGACTTATCACCAGATACCAGGCACCGTTGTACCAGGCACAGCTCAAATCCTGCTGTGTCTGTAGTTATTAAAGAAATTTTCAGCTCTTTTTGAGCTGTGGACATTGCCCAACAAGGAATCCAGAAAAGATGGATCAGGGATATGAACATTATACTGTGACGTCGTTACATTTAACATATGCGACTGAGGAAACCCTTTAGATATGGCTTGTTTAGTCATGATACATGAAGACTTTGAATATCATTTTGTAATTTTTGTAATCTTTTTCCAACATTGGACAATTCATCTTGAATCTCCAATAGTTTGTCTAACCTATTTTGTGCTTGATCTCGATACGGCTTGCTTATGGTGCTCACAAATGCTTCCAAATTTCGAACTGCTTCATTGAGATCCTCCTGCATAGCAGCTTCGAGCTCTCGAGCAAATCCATCTGCCGTTCTTTTTACCTTACTAATCAACTGTTGCCTACGAATTGGAAAGTTCGAAATTGCCCAAAATCTATCAAAGAGAACAAATACCTCGTCAGAACTTAGAAGTTCAGATATTCTTATTAAAATTAAGTCGTTGCTCCAACAAAAGCATAGTTAAAGAAGTGGCAAAAGATGCATCAAAATTGTTAAATATCGGGTAAGCTCTACCGCACCTAAGTTACAGTTGAGTACACACAAAAATGTAGGGCCTCCCATACCATGGAGACTTCCATGGAGGTATCCAGATATGGCATTTAGAAGCTTAGTCCCGAAGATGTCGACCATGATAAAATTATAGAACAGTAGTTGGTCTTTGGGTACGGAAAGGAGCGAGTCTTAGGTTGGGATCGAATTTTGGGTAATATTCTAATTTCCTCTTGTATATGCCATAACTATAAATTACTTGATTTGGAGGTCATGAACTAAAGTCGAAAGGATTTGGTATTATGGAAAGGAAAGTCGGGACGAGCTGGCTTTGACAAAAAAGAGAAAATATGAAAATTTAAAAAGCGAAAAAATAAGGTAAAAAGGATAAAGGAAGATGCACATTACCCGCCAGCAGAACAAAGGCCAAGAGCAAGAAGATCTTCCGTTGTGGTGGGAAGTACTGAAGTCAGAAGCGAAGCAGAAAAACCAGCAGCCCCAAGTCCACCAAAAGTTCCCAAAAACTGAAGTTGGAAAAAGCATATTGAAGATCAGATGCCATGTGGTTTGATGATAAAGCTTTTCAGTTATAACTAAAGATCACTGAGCGTCCCCGACTCGTGGAAAAAAGAAGGAACTTTAGACCCCAAATTAGCAATGAATCATAAACTTCATCTCACTATAATTTAGTGAAAAAGCAATCTACAGATAGCATTCATTTTCCATTTAAAATAAATAAATAAAAAGTTCTTAATGTGGAAAAATGACCAGCAAGACTTAGGAAGAAGCTCTCACCGCTTCACGAATTTCTTGGTTAAACAGTTTGGAAGCAGCACTCGGACTAAAATTCTTAATTACTTTCAGGCTTAGATCATCTACTTTTTTCAGCAACTCATAGGTTTCAGAAGGCATCTCAGTAGTCGGAAAGACGATAGATGGCCATAGTTTCTCCAAGGATTCCTGGTACATTCTTCCTTCCTGAGCATTGCCTGATTGCAGCCAGGATTTATAGTCTTGGAGAAGTTTCTATAAGCCACATAAATTACCAAAAAAAAAACAAAAACAAAAATCAGAGAACTTGTGGGGTCAAGATATAACAAGAAAACTGAATGGAAGTATCAACAAAGCTTTAGGAGAACACTTTAGACATGAACAATTGGAGATTCAAACTGTACCCTGAAGCTAAGACAGAATTAAAGACGAATCAACTACCAAAGCAAAGACGAATTAAAGACGCTGAAAATGTTACTTGTGCATCGGATAGTGCTAGAGAAATGATGTCATTTGGAATCTTCAAGGTAGCTGATGCAGTGGAAGACTTTTCCCCTTTCAAGACATAATATGCAGCTATATCAACATTTGATAATTCTAATGTGGATTCTGTGAGCTTCATAATACGTGATTGGGTAGAATCAATCTGCATTTTTACATAGAACCACGGGACAGTAAATAAAGATAGAAAACACTTGCATTTCTACCTAAAGAATAATTGAAAAGTAGAGTGAATGGGTATATATATACCAGTGAAAAAGCTTGTCTTCTCCAAGTGATACTTTCGTTTTCCATCTTTGTTCCATAATTTCTTACGCCATCAACTAATTCATTTAAAGACGCCAAATCCTGTTTGGCTAACTGTATGTCTTGTCTCACGAGAGTTTCGGCTGCAGAAAGTAGCCGTTCTGCGATTGAAACAGGTGTTTGAAGTTTAAGCTTCATTCTTTCCATTCCATTACTTGTTGATCCATCTAAGAAGCTGTACAAGAAATTTTCAAGTTCGTGGAAGCTACTGCCTCTCGAATAAGAATTAGAGGGCAATAAGGCTTCGCCACTCTCCAGAGAAGCAGAAAGTTTTTCTTCCAGAGCAGACCGTGCAGATACTGGAAATACACAGACGTGTTCAGCATTCAACAGTTTCGCTGCATTTTCCTTGACAAAGGATAGGGCTTCCTCCAGCTGCAACCAAGCAACAAAAATTGCAAGGATAAAACAAAGCTCAGAATGCCTCTAACGATTATATACTTTAAAGAAGTACACAAAGAAAAAAAAATTTAAACCTCGTGGCTATTCTGATAAAGGTCAGATTTATTCAACACGAACACCACTTTCTTCTTCCACTGCTGTGTGTAACGAAGAAAATTAACCTGAAAGTAAAAACCATGGATGATTTATTCAAATGTGTAGAAGTTCACAATCTACGACCGACAACGATTTTTTCTTGTGAAAGTATAAAAGTATAGGCTCCTCAAAATGCCTGCTCCATGATTCTCTCCCCAGGTATGAGTGAAAGGTAATAACTAAAGGGTCCTTATAGTTAACCAGGCAGGACATAATAAGCAAGTGACAAGGATAAACAGACTACTTCAATGGTTCATGCCTCACTCTCGGTCAATGGGCGATCAGCAGAGATAACAAAAAGCAGCAAATCTGCACGAGGCACAAATTCCTCCGTTAGCCGTTGTTGCCTTTCAAGAATGACGTTAGTACCAGGTGTATCAACAATGTTCATCTGCATTAAAAAAGAGTTGGAAAAACTACGATTAGACATCAAATTACACATGTTAGTATTCAAAGATACAACAATCCAGACACACACGGATGTGTAGATATACATTAAATATAGTCACACAAACGTGGCCATCCCAATGGATGGAGATAAAGTAACACTTCAGATCAGTCTAAGTTTCTTGTTAATGTCTTACAAAAACATTGTTCCGAGTAGTCTAAACTCTGTTGCTGACCACAGTAATCTTTTGTAAAACTTGTAAATTGGTTTTGCAGAGAGAGAACAAGTCAACGAAACGTTCCTTTTTTCCCCCCTCTTTTGTGCGTGTGAAAAAGAACATTCATCACAAAATGAGGACATCCCTTCCCAAGTCAAGAAGGGTATGTATAAACTCACTTCATTAAGGATGGGAGCAGGAAGATAGCATATATATTGACCATCTGGATGTCGTTCACATTGTTGTTGTTCATTAGAACTTAACTCGGAGAACCTCAAGAAAGTTATCTCATTAGTCGTCGGAACAACCCCATCTTTTAGATATCTCCTTCCAAGCAATGCATTAATAACTGTTGACTTTCCGGAGTTAAATTCACCCTGGTAAAAAATAGAGAGCATAAAGTCTTAAAAGACAAAGTGTACCAAAAAAAAAAAAAAAACAAAGTAGAATGTAAGATATCATTAACAAGGGAAATCGTTACTCCCTCAATTGTCTAAAAAGAATTATGTAAGGTTTAAAGGATGATAAATAGGAAAACAAAAAGATGGTTTGTTAAACGGATAACGTTTGTTCCCCTTGGTTGAGAAAAGGATAATGTAATTTAAAATCTAAAGTAGGGAATAGGAAGAAAAGGATAATGATCAGTGCCTTGACAAAAAGAACATTTTTCAAACTACTACCCAGTTGAATAAGGCGGTGCAATCCCATCTCCAACTGAGACCACTCGACCGATCTCATCCACTTTCAAATTCGTATAAAAGTTGGTAATTCTACTTTCTAATAAAGTCATTAGTTCCATAATTCCGGGAGAGAATTCCATGATTCAAAAATGGTCTCGAGTCAAGGGAAAATGCCGCTCCTGATAGATCCCACACAGATCAAAAGCGGGCTTCTTTAGGAAGAAAAGAGTGAAAGTAGGAGCGCAGCCCTCGTTCTCTTGACTGTTCAAGATAGCATTGAGCTTGCTCAATGAAAGTCCTTGCCATTTCAAGCCTTGATTAACTCGGGCCCCATGTGAATTAGCAGGGAAAGAGGATTCATGTTTGGCCCCAAACATCATGTAAGAGTGAGAAACGTTTTAGTGTAAAAGGCAAAAAGGTCGTTCATTCTTTCAATAATTGTCGAACCCAAAAGACGGGAAAGGCCGGGTTACTTCTAGATTCTTTCAAATGAAAAAGAAAATGAATTTCTTTGAAATTAGGGCCAATACCAATGTATATCCTGCAACCAGAGTTTGTTGAAGTTCAGCACACAATTACCACTATAGCCAGCATAAATGGCTCATCAATTTGTGACACTGAATCATTGAGCAGCGAAACCTCCGCCATCTGCCATTTAAAACCATCAAAGATTGAGGAAATGAAGATCATATCAATAACTACAACGGTCAAAAATGAAGATACTTGGACTTTAGTTTGAAAATCAACTACCAAACCGAAAAAGTAGTTCTTAAAAACTTCAATTTTGTTTTTGAAATTTGGCTTAAAATTGTGTGAAAACAAGCATAATTTTCAAAAACCGAAAACAAAAACGAAATGGATCTCAAACCGAGCCTAAATGATCACCAGTGGAGCAGCTTTCTGAATAATATTTATGGCTTCACGCAATACTAATTTCTCTGTAACTATGACTTGTTTTTCTCTATCTTCCAAATTAGCAAATCCAGCTACTTGTGTTGCTCCAAGAGCACCATTGGCCATGTTCAAGTTCAACGAACCAGACGTATTAATATCGTCCTCCTTTCTTCCACTGTCTGTAAATGTGGAGTCAAATAATTTACCAACAGCATCATCGCTAATCAGCCTCAACGCTTGCAAAGAGATTACTAAGCCACTTGCACCAAATTCCAGCCATTTTAAAGCTTCATGAAACGTTGTGTTCTTTCCATATGAGGAGAACGGTATAAATATTGGTATCTTTACATTCATGAACACAGAATCTGTTGTTGTCATATCAAGCTTCTCTTTATCAAAATCATATAAAAGAAAATCAGCACCTTCAGATTTTGATGCATTTACAGCTGAAATTGAGGATTTTACATTCCTTGCTACCAGAGGTAGAAACAGGGAATCCGATGTAGAATCCAGCATGGTGTTCCTGGCCACAATAGGAGGAAGACCTGATTCAAATGAATTTAAAATCATAAAATTCATATATTCTATGCATCAGTACTCAAACTTTGTTCTATATTTTTGAAACAGTCTAAATACAACCTTGATCGGAGAGGAGAACTCCACTGGCATTAACGGCAGTGGCAATGTCGACACGCTCAGCTATCAACAAATAAGCTCGATCTCCGACCACCGACTTCAATTTACAGGCAGCTTCGTAGAGCTTACCGCCACCGCCTTCGCCAGAATTGAGCACCACGATCCGAACCCACTTGGACAAAGCCCGATCGATCAAATCCAACGCATCCCCACCGCCCAAAACCTCGGCTACATCCAATTGCAGCACCACACAAGGCACTTTAATCTCCGGCCGCTTGAACCCACTTGGGAAAAGAGTTTTAGGTTGTGGGTTTTCTAGGGTTTTAGGAATCAATTCGCTGGATTGAAATGGGTTCTGCGAAACGGAATTTATGGGAAAACGATGGCGTCGACGGCGGGAGGGCTTAAGAACAGGAGGGTGAATTCGGAAGGAAGGAATTGATTTGAGGAAGAGAGGAGGGGAATCAATGCGGCAGACGGAGAGGAGTCTCATATCCATTAGAATTAGGTAGCGCTTTCGCCGATGACTGAAAATTAAACGGGGGATGTTCGGGAAAAGATCATCTTATCCTCTTCAATTGGCGCAAGCTGTGCGCCAATTGAACAGAACAGATTGCCTTGCGGGGATTTTCTCTTTCCTTTGATGGAAATTAACATGGCTGACTTCGATTTTGGTTGTGCTGTCAACAATTTGTTTTTTTGTTCAAACGTTTCAATTTACACTCACTGCACCATTAACACCTGCTGTCATGCTTGTCTACTCCTAATATTTACTATTTATTGTTATGTTAATACGAAAGTTTATGACCGGTCATCAAAATTATGTCTACCTTCATCAAGGCTAAAATATCTCAAAATGCATTAGACGAGAAGGCGAGTAATTGTCAATATGCTATCAAAATCGTTGTTACTGCTTATTCGCTTTTAGTTTAAAACATTATTTTCTTTAAAATTGTTATCAACCTATTTTCTCATTCACGTTTTCTAAAATATTTATCTCAAATGTGATCCGAGGTTCGAGCATACATGAATATTATCCATAAAGTTCCAATTTCACACAACAACTTATTAAATACATCATTTGGTTCGTTTAACGATGAGTTAGAGAGGGTCTGATGAAAAGACAGCGTCAATCGTCACCTACTATTCACCATCGCCATCTTCTTCTCTCCATACTCGCTTCTTCAAGGCTCTCGTCGGCTTCTGCGTCTGCTTTTGCTTCTACAGCTTAAGAGGTGCTCCATTCTTTTTCACGTTTTGAAGTTCTAGTACTGGTTTTCGTTGTCTTACCTTTGTCTGTCCCGAACAATATTTTGATTTTCTGGGGAGTTTCTGCTTTGCTAGGTTTGTTACTTGCCTTATTCTAACTCGCTGCATGTACACTGTTGAGTTTCTGTGAAGTTGCTTCCTTTAGTCTATTGATCTATTGTGATGAAATGGCGTTGTTTCGAGCTTTATCAGGAAAAAAATTGTGAGATCTCACGTCGGTTGGGGAGGGGAACGAAATATTCTTTGTAAGGGTATGGAAACCTCTCCCTACCAGATACGTTTTAAAAACCTTGATTGAAAGCCCAAAAAAACAATATTTGCTAGCGGTTGACTTAGGCTATTACAAATGGTATTAGAGCCAGACACCAGGCGATGTGCCTACGAAGAGGCTGAGCCCCGAAGGGGGTGGACACACAAGGCGGTGTGTCAGCAAAGATGCTGGGCCTCGAAGGGGATGGATTTGGTGGGGTCTCATATCGATTGGAGAAAGGAACGAGTGCTAGTGAGGACGCTGGGCCCCGAAAAGATGTGGATTGTGAGATCCCATATTGGTTGGGGTGGAGAACGGAACACCCTTTACAAGGATGTGGAAATCTCTTCCTAGCAAACGCGTTTTAAAAACCTGGAGGGAAAGCCCAAAGAAGACAATGTCTGCTAGCGGTGGACTTAGGCTGTTACAAATGGTATTAGAGCCAGACACAGAGTGATGTGCCTGTGAGGAGGTTGAGCCCCAAAGAGGGGTAGACACAAGGCGGTGTGTCAGCAAGGACGCTGGAGGACCTTGGAGGGAGTGGATTTGGTGGGGTCCCACATCGATTGGAGAAAGAAACGAGTGCCAGTAAGGACGCTGGCCTCCGAAGGGGGGTGGATTGTGAGATCCCACATTGGTTCGGGGGAGAACGAAACACCCTTTACAAGAGTGTGGAAACCTCTGCCTAGCAAATGCATTTTAAAAACCTTGAGAAAAAGCTCAAAGAGGACAATATATATAACCTGTTTGATTCTGACTTCGCTAGGAAAACCGACTCATTTTTGTCAAAGAACTTCATATCCAAAGGCACAAAATCCCTCCTCCTTGCAAATGGAGCTGCCGGACCTTCCCTGCTCTTCCTCAAAGAAGAGAGCAAAGAAGTTATACCCTTCTGTTACTCGACGGTCTGAACGGATTCGAAATGCCGTTATTCCATTTGAAAATGACTGCATCGAACCTGTGATTGAAGAAATAGCTTTTAGTGAGACTGAAAAAGATGATGAACCACCAGCTGAGGAGAGAAAGCATTTGAACGAGCCGAACTCGGGCGAACGGGACTTGCACGGAAAGATTGATTATGTAGTCAAACTACTCGAAACTCAAGAACGAACCATAAACGCATTGAAAGCTAAGGTGCCAAAGCATAGGAATTGACATGATATGTTTTGAAGTTCATTTTGCTCTATGATTTTCTTTTCATTGGTTGTTCAATGTCTAGCAGAATGATGAGAATCCATTGTTGAGTGAAAGCTCATCACCAATAGATGTCAAATACAAGGGCTTGTACTTCGAATCCCAGAAAAAGGTTAATTTTGTTATTTTCGTATTAATGAATCTCGATTCTCATTCGTATATCTATGAACAGTACCATCTTAATGTATGTCAGGTTCAAGCCTTAATCGACGAAAACCATCAGCTTACTCAGAAGTTGGAAACAGCTCTTTGTAAAGTCGAAGCAGTACGTACCGTTGATTCCATGCTCTATACGATAGATCATTGCAATTGTTAGTTTTCAATGAGGGATTTCTAATAAGCGTGAGTCATCAACTCGCGTTGACTATATCCTACCGATTGAATGGTCCGGTGAAGTGTTTGGATTGTGACGACGTAGGTGGTTCGCTACCTGCGACGTCGCGAGAAGTCCACTGAATCTTATCATTTAGAGGAAGGAGAAGTCGTAACAAGGTTTCTGTAGGTGAACCTGTGGAAGGATCACTGTCGATGTCTAGACATCAAACGACCCACGAACGGGTTTACGAACTTTTTGTGTCTGGGGAGAATTCGTGCCCCATCCGTTGCTTAAACCAAACCAAATCAACATGATTTTTTAGTATTTGATGGGAAGTTATTTTGTTTGATTTGTGTAGTATGAGAAAGGGAATAGAAATATTTCTGAAGTGCTGGAGAAAATGAAGGATGTGATCTTAGTCTCCAATCTCACAAAAGTTACTGAATCAGCTGTCAACGCTTCTTCTCGAGCAATTCGTGATGCTATGTCTCCAGGCACGGGTCGTGACGCCGAGCGTTCCGCAGCTAAGAGAAAGAAAATGACAAAAACAAAGTGAAAAGAGCTGAAAATGTTGCATTAGTATAAACTGTCTCTCTTTTGTACACGAAACTCGTCCTCGTCCTCTGTTGAGCTGTAATGTATATGTTTTAAGACTGACTGATCTTGTTTATCCAGTTATGACATGTTTCGGAGGTTGTTCAAACGGTATTGCCATTCGCCCCTAAATGTATAAGTAGTATAAAACAGGTTCCATATGCTACACAACAAACGACAATAAGCTCTCCGACTCAGCTCATGAATCGTGCAATTGTCGGAAGCGTCTAGCATGGAACCTGGTTTAATAGTAGACGAATACGACAGTGTAGAAAATGCTATGACCATAGATTTATTTCTGAACTAAATGCAGTGAAGATTGAGTTAACTTGGTTACAGGATTGTGAACGAGAAGCAACTGACGTTCGAGCCTGCGTTTTCTGGTCCAGAATCACCTCTACTCTTCTTGGTGGAGTTCATCAAGAGAGGTAGAAAAGCTAAAATGATCAGCTCTAGATGTTTGAGTAATTTCTTTGTCAATACAGTCACGTTGTCCCTGTCCCTGTCCTTGTCCTTCAGCTTCTTTGACAATGGCAGGTGGTGATGCCGAGAAGTCCAAACACATGCCGATGGCTTCGTCGTAAGATAGCAAAAGATCTTGGGATGTGAGCTGGTGATACTCCGCAAGCTGGTAAAGGCATTGATTTTCCCTTGTTAAGTTTGCATTTTCGTTTGCTAATCTTGATTTCTCAGCTAGCAGTGCCTCCATTTGAAGCCTAACCTGATTTACCACCGAAAGACGGTTAGAAATCACGATTCTCCATAATGGTATGATATTACCCACTTTGAGCATAAGCTTTCGTGGCTTTGCTTTAAGGCTTCCCCAAAATGCCTCGTACTAACAAAAATGTATTTTTTACTTATAAACTCATGATCATTCCCTAAATTAGCCAATGTGAGACTCCCTCCCAACAATCCTCCCCTCGAACAAAGTACACTATAGAGCCTCCCTTGAGGCTTATGGAGACCTCGAATAGCCTCCTCTTAATCGAGGCTCAACTCCTTCTTTGGAGTCCTTGAACAAAGTACATTCTTTGTTCGACACTTGAGTCACTTTTGACTACACCCTTGAGGCTCACAACTTTTTTGTTCAACATTTGAGGATTCTATTGACATAGCTAAGTTAAGAGCATGGCTTTGATACCATATTAGGAATTACGATTCTCCACAATGGTATAATATTGTCCACTTTGAGCATAAGCGGGGACCTCCCAACAATCTTCAACACAGGCATAGACAGAAGTGGAAAGGAAGAACAGATAATCATCATAATAATGATACGAACCAGATCATCTTCTTCCGGTCTGACCCCAGTGGAAACACCGTTGCGAAGTCTCCTATTCTCTTCATCAAGTATGGCGCATCGTTCTTGCATAAAACATATATTGGATTTTAATGATTTTAATTCTCTTGCTAGAGATGCTGTTTTTGTTGCCATTGCAACTGCAAGCTGGAGAAATGCAGGCCAAAAGGTTAATATTGCATAAGAACTTGTTCAAATACAGATGACAACAGAGGCAAGGAACCAACATTTTTAGCCTTTTTAAGGTTGTCTGTTGGGTTTTGCTGGTTTTCTTTCTCTAAATTATCTTCTGAGCAATGAGTATCATCATATTTTCTCTTTGTTGCTTGCTTGGACTCCAAGAACTCATGCTCCACCTCGGAGTTCTTGAGGTTGCTTTGGAAGATCTCCGTCAAGGTTGGTGGTGCTTGAACCAGATCCTTAGCGCCCTGGAATCAGCCCTCAAAATCAAATCTTAGTTTTGTGTGTCTATGAATCACGATTCTGTACAATAGTTTGATATTGTCCACTTTGAGCATAAGCTCTCTTGACTTTGCTTTGGGCTTCCCCAAAAGACCTCAAACCAATGAAGATGTATTATTTACTTATAAACTTAAGACCATTCTCTAAATTACTCAACGCGGGACTTCCTCCCAACAATCCTCTCCTCGAACAAAGTACACTATAGAGCCTCTCCTGAGACCTATGAAGCCCTCGAACAGCCTCTCCTCTTAATCGAGGCTTAACTCCTTATTTGGAGTCCTTGAACAAAGTACACCCTTTGTTCGATATTCAAGTCACTTTTGATACACCTTCGAGGCTCACAACTTCTTTGTTCGACATTTGAGTATTCTATTAATATGGCTAAGTTAAGGGCATGACTTTAATACTATGTTAGAAATCATGACTCTCCACAATAGTACGATATTGTCCATTTTGAGCATAAGCTCTCAGGGCTAAGGGTGTCCCTTACTTATAAACTGATGATCTTACCCTAAATTAGCTTAGGTAAAACTCCCTCCCAACAATCCTCAATACAATCCTCAATACAGAATACAAAGAACGGAAGAGTGGAGAATGGCGTGTACCTGCAAGGCGTTATCCAAATTGTTGGAAAGCTGAGACAGAGTATAGCCAACAGAGTCGAATCCTCTCAGCAAAAGCAAAGAATCTTCCTTCAATCTCTTTACCCTTTCCGATTTGTTCATGTTCTATCCCCACAAACCATGAATTTTCAAGCTCCATTGACATGAAAAAAGCTGAGCTCAAAAACGAAGAACTGGAAGAGAAAAGCACTCACAAGATTTGAAGATTTGGCATTTCGTTGCTCAAGAAGCGAGTCGACCCGACCTCGAAGGGAGCTCCAGAAACGCTTGTCGGAATCAGGGCTGGGCAATGGGGGCGAACCCATGAAGCTGGTCGGTCCCTAAGAAATCAGCTGAAAATGCATCAGAAAATGAATCCGACACGACAAGAGTGTCCAGTAAACGAACCTGGTTGGGATGTGAAGATGATGATGGAGACTCCACAGACGGTTCCATGAGGTAGAGGAAGAAGGTTGCAACGGCTAGTCTTCAAAGAAATGAAGATTTAAAAGTAAATTCAAACTCAAAACGGGTGGGCACAGCTCACTTGGTAAATATGAAACAATTGGATAGGACGAATTTAATAATAGTTGTTCTTTGACTTTTTCATAGCTTACCATCTTCTCTCTTTAATTAATGTGCCTAATTCAACTTAAATTAAATTAACTCATTTATGAAACAATAATACTAACCCTCTTTCATAAATTATTGTTTGCATAAATGAGTTAATTTAAGTTAAATTAGATTATTCGGAGAAATCTTTTGGATCAACTCAAAATTTTAGATTGGTTGGGTTGACGACTCGAACCATCCGAATATAGTTCACCACCTAACTTTATATTTTCGAGTTGGGTTATTAAGGTGTTCTTTTAGAAAATTCTACTTATCCCAATACATGTTTCCACATAATTAAAGTAACAGGCATATTACTAACACAAATTATAAACGTCAAATATTTTTAATTTTCATAATAATAATAATCTTATAAGTAGAATAGATTTAGGTTTGATTGTCAATTGCTCGGGAATGTCAACCCGCAAACTGACCTTAATTTTTGATTTTTCAATCCTGCCTACACCGGAAAAAAAAAAATAATTAACTCAACTGAACTTTTATGATTTTGGTTGAATAAACTAAGTTGATTGGGTTTTTGAATCTTATGGACATTCCTAATACCGATAACTATCGTTAAATCAAATAAATCGACATAGAGATTTTAGACTTTCACTCTAAAATATTTTATTAGAAAGGAGAATCTACATTTATATTTGTAAAGTGGTATAATGGCCATGACAAAATGATTGGCCGTTATCATCCATAATCTATCTGATAGCTAAAAGAGCTGATTCTCATCTTCACACGGTCCAGCTCAAAATTCTTCGATTCCATGGCTGCTCTCGCTTCTTCTTCGTCTTCCCTCTTCACCTCTAAGCCCTCCATTCATCTTCCATCTTCCCTTTCTCCATGTCTTCTGCGTTCATCAGTCTCCCCAATCTCTTCCCCTTCTGCTCTGACATCCTCTTTCGCCATTTCCCATTCCTTTCTCCCTTTTCCCTCCTCTTCCAGACGCTCCAATGTCTGCTCCTTCAGTGTCAGGGCTAGCTCTGCTGACAAGAAGAATGTCTTGATTGTCAACACAAACAGCGGCGGACATGCCGTAATCGGCTTCTATTTTGCCAAACAGCTTCTGGGTTCCGGCCATGAGGTCACAATTTTGACTGTCGGTGAAGAGAGCTCCGACAAGATGAAGAAACCTCCATTTAACAGATTCTCAGTAAGTCATTTATGATATACTCACAACCCAGGGAGCTCGAAATGAGTGGTGGTTAACTAACTGTGTGTATGTTTTGGGATGTTTTTTTTAGGAAATTGTGAGTGCTGGAGGCAAGACGGTATGGGGGGATCCTGCAGAAGTTGGGAAGGTTGTGGCAGGAGCTTCATTTGATGTGGTATTAGATAACAATGGCAAGGACATTGATTCTGTGAGGTTTGTGAATTCTGCTACTTTCTCACTCTTTCTGGTGGATTGTTCTTGATAAGGTTCTTGTTTTGTTGATATCAATCCACCTTTAAAGCATGGCTATAACACGCCCAAGAACAGCAAACATAATCTTGCTTTAAACATAGAATCTGTTTATGAAGATTACTCTTTTTTACATCCAGTAAGGTAAAAGGGATTTTTGTGAAATCCCACATCGGTTGGGGAGGAGACCGAAACACCCTTTATAAGGTTGTGGAAATCTCTCCCTAACATACACGTTTTAAAAATCTTGAGGGTAAGTCCGAAAGGGAAAACCCAAAAAATGACTATCTGCTAGCAGTGGGCTTGAGTCATTACAAATGGTATCAGAGTCACACTGGGTAATGTGCCAGCGAGCGAGGATGCTCTTCTCCGAAGGGGGTAGACACGAGGCGGTGTGCCAGCAAGGATGCTGTCCCCGAAGGAGGGTGGATTTGGTGGGAGTCCCACATCGGTTGGAGAAAAGAACGAGTGTCAGCGAGGACGCTGTGTCCTAAATGGGGGTGGATTATGAAATCCTACATCGGTTAGAGAGGAGAACGAAACACCCTTTATAAGAGTGTGGAAATCTCTCCCTGATAGACGCGTTTTAAAAACCTTGAGGGTAAGCCCAAAGAGAACAATATTGTCAGGGTGAGCTTGGGCGGTTACAAATTTAAACCCTTAATCCGCTAGAATCATACTGGAAATCAATCTAAGCTGCCATTTGGCCTATATTTTGACACAGGCCTGTTATTGATTGGGCAAAGAGTTCTGGTGTGAAGCAGTTTCTATTTATCAGTAGTGCTGGGATTTATAAGCCAACTGATGAGCCTCCCCATGTTGAAGGGGTAAACATTACAGTGATCCTATCAGCATAGTAGATGGATAGAAGGCAGACACTTACAGAAGGCTAATAAATCTGCATAATTACTATGACAGGATACTGTTAAAGCTGATGCTGGTCATGTTGGTGTTGAACAATATATTGCTGAGGTTTTCAGCAGCTGGGCTGTTTTCCGTCCACAGTACATGATTGGATCTGGCAACAACAAAGATTGTGAAGAGTGGTTCTTTGATAGTAAGAGCATACATATTTATAAACATTTCTAACCTTGATTGATGAGCTCATGGACTTGATAAATTCTCGATGCAGGAATTGTCCGGGACAGACCCATTCCAATTCCAGGCTCTGGGATGCAGCTGACAAACATCGCACATGTCAGGGACTTGTCTTCTATGTTGACACTAGCTGTAGAGAAGCCGGATGAGGCACACGCTAACATATTCAACTGCGTGAGCGATCGTGCCGTGACTCTTGATGGAATGGCCAAGCTATGTGCTCAAGCAGCAGGGCGTCCAGTTAACATTGTACATTATGATCCAAAACCAGTTGGGGTGGATGCAAAGAAAGCTTTTCCTTTCAGGAATATGGTGAGTAAAAGGAAATAGCTTCTTTGATGCTTTAGGGGTAAACATAGAAGATTCAGAATTTACCTATTGTTTTTTGCAGCATTTCTATGCGGAGCCAAGAGCAGCTCAGGAGATCTTAGGGTGGAAAAGTAGCACAAATCTTCCTGAAGATTTGAAGGAGCGATTTGAAGAGTATGTGAAGATTGGCAGAGACAAGAAGGCTATTAAGTTTGAGTTAGATGATAAGATACTTGAGTCCCTAAAGGTTCCAGTAGCTGCTTGACCGTTCTTTGAATAATCGTGCACAACAGTACTGGCCATCTTACAGTACTTCTACATGTATTCTCATTTATTGTACTTCTATCAACTTAACCAAATAACGTGAGATTCAGAAGTGAAGTAATTGAGCTTTCACTTCTGTTGCCCCATTTCTGATCTTTGCATTACCAGAAGATAACAAAGAGCACTCTAGTTCTGATTCATTCCTAGTGAAAATAAATCCATTTTTTTGCCAGAATTATAAAAAGCCAAGACAATGTACAATATGCAAAAACTTAGGACCAGCCTGATAAAGATATTTGAAGTAAAGTATTATGAATTTCATTAGGGATACAAATGTCGGTTAACCAAAAAGATCGTTTTAATTGCACGAGTAATATAAGAACATATAATACATTGCTTCACAAGTTAATCAGACTCCTTGCCATGCATGATGGACTCCAATTTTGTGCTTCCCACGACTTCGCAAGTCGAAAAGCAATATAGACATCATGAATCTTTTTCCATCAGTTGAAAGTTTCTAATAATTCTACGCCAGGTGGTTTTAATCATTTATATGAATTGTATGAGTGAGAAGCTGAAATTCTGACCTTCAAGCAAAGCATCATCCAACAGCATTATCTAGGAGGCCTCTCCAAAGCAATCCAACCAAACTTTCCTTTGCGAAAATCTGATAAGATGCGGAAAGCTGCTTGATGACTGTCCCCGTTGAACAATTGAAGTGCTAACTTTTGAACAAATCTGTCACCAGCAATTTGTTTTACGCGTATAATAATAATACTAAACTAGAAATGAAAAGTTATTGATTAGCATATGATACGTACGTGTGACCACATTGACCGTCTGCATCGACTTTATATCGCTTTTGAAGCGATTCTATACCTGGAGATTTGTTAAAGCTAGTGTCATTTATTAACTAAGTGATTAGAAATGATTTGACTATCAAGTAATAGTGCAGGAATATTTTCAGTACGACCAAGAGAGATACTTGAACTATTTGAATGTTCAAGAGATCAAAATATTTCCATGGTACCTACTGACGGAAGCTTGGTCAGAATCTGTACAAGTATGGCAGCAACATCAGCAGCATTGTAGGACTTCTCTCCAATGTCATCGCATATAGCAAGCTTTATTGCGGCTGTCTGGTCGCTAATCCGCATTGGTATAATACCAGGAGAATCAAGCAACTCAAGATCTTTGCCAAAACGAACCCACCTTGTACAAGAGAATGGAAACAAGGAGACAGTTAATCAAAGAGCTTATACAAATGGCTTTACAATTGATTCCTCCCTCGTTCCCAGCTTGTACATCTTAATCAAAACTATTGAAAAAAGAAAAGGTACCATACCTCAATTCTCGAGTGACACCCGGTCTTGGAGCTGCTGGACACATTCGTCGTTTCAGCAAGCGGTTGATCAGAGATGATTTTCCAACATTAGGATATCCAACTATTCCAGCACGAACCTGTAAATCACTAAGGTTGTTCAGGTCATGTTCTGAAAATAATTCTGATTTACTATTAAGGATAAACCCAATATAGCCCCTAATCTTCACATATTTCTCTAGCACAGAAAAATATCCTCTTCAGGCTAATAATATGATTTGGGCTTAAGCTTAAATGTCTTTTGGTGCTTCTGTATGTCTGTTTATGTCAATATAGAACGAAAATCATTTATGATTTACAGATGATTTGGCATGGAAAGAATTATAGATATATAAAAACCTTACAAACAAGCTTAAGCATTAGAATTTAGTGAATTCATGCAACCAACCGCGCGAGGAAGTAGTCCTTTAGCTCTACGTTTGACATTGACATCTGCTGCTAATGTCCTGGCCAACCGCCCTAGCTTCATTGTGCCCTACAGTTGCCACATGAGAACATTAACAACTATTACACTGTCAAACTCCGTATGCTCAGAAAGAATATAGTTTGCTTAGATACCATTCCGAGTTTCCCATTTGAAAATACTACTTTTATTCCTCGTCTCGTAAAATAATCTGCCCAAGCATTCCGGTCCGCTGAAGATATCATATCTTCTCTGTTCAGTACCAATATTCTTCTCCTATTGCCAAGCCATGCATCCATCTAATCATGAAAATGATGAATAAATTGTAAATAAAAGAAAAAACATGGTCTCCTAATCTTTTAGTGGCAATGATGAATCAGTGTAACATTAAAGCAACTCTAATAGTTGTTAAGCTTGTTTGTAATCTTGATATTTTTCACTATACCCAATGTTATCGTGCTATTTGTGTATCTTATAGTTTTTACCCCTTTTTCATTTTACTTTGTTGTATCTTCTAAACAGTTTACACATTGTTCTACATTGCTTTAAATGCATTATGTTAGTCTCAGACACTGTGCAGAGAGCTCTCTTTTTCATCAATATACCATTTTTTTCTTCTCTTAATTGTACATGGTATTAGAACTTCAAGTATTCTAGAAGCTTCAAACAGTGTCTTCCATCAGCACGGTGCCTTCCTCTAGCACTTCTTCCAGTGACAGTGATCGATTACCGACGAGAAGCTCTACTCCAGTATAGTCATGACTCCAGTAACAATCCAAATAAGTCCTCACTCTCTTTCTAGCCCTTCATCAAATCTGGCTCTACTCCATTAGTCATCACTCCGATAACAATCCAAAGAACTCCTCACTCTCGTTCTACCTCCTGTTCAACAAAAACCACAGCCATGTCTCTTCCTTTCTCCACACAACAAACAGGCTTCAATGCCCATGTAACAACCCGAAGCCCACCGCTAGCAAATATTGTTCTCTTTAGGCTTTTCCTTCCGAGCTTCCCTTCAAAGTTTTTAAAACGCATCCGCTAGGGAGAGGTTTCCACACCTTATAAGGAATGCTTTGTTTCCTCTCCAATCGATGTGGGATCTCACAATCCACCCCAATGTCTAGCTCTGATACTATTGTAACGTCCTGAAACCCATCGCTAGCAGATATTTTCCTCTTTGGGTTTTCCCTCAAGGTTTTTAAAATGCGTCCACTAAGGAGAGGTTTCCACACCTTTAAGGAATGCTTTGTTCTCCTCACCAATCGATGTGGGATCTCATAGCCCACCCCAATCTAATACCTACCAAATACCCCAGCCAAACACCTCTATCACTCTACCCCATAATCTGCTAAATTCCCCTCTTCTGTTTTCCTCCCAAATAAATTTTGCTTGTTAGCCTCAGGAACTGTGTGCGGAGAGCTTTATATTTTTCATCAATATTCCTTTCTCTGTCTTCTCTTTATCGTACAATAGTCTGTATTTAAGCCAAAAGACTTACAACCTCTGGACTTTTCTTCACTTCTGTGACAATATAGCAGGGGTACCAATAGTTATGGATGCATACTAATCAAGTTAAGAACTGAAAACATTCACATCAGATCTCCTAAACATTTCAATAAAATAACACATAAACAAAAACAAACAAAAAAATTGCGAGTCAAGAGTATAATGAATGGAATGAACAAAATCAGAACTTGGATGCAAAACCTGTGGGTGACATGTAGACATGGGTATTCTAGCATCTCGAACCTCTATCACAACATCCATCAGCCTAAGTTGATCCTTCAGCTCTTTTTCTGTTTTTGCTATATGGCCAGGATACCACTGCCGAGTTGCCAGCAAAAAAATGTAGGGGAAAAAATATATACTCTTTAGCATATTCATCAAGAAACTTCTTGCACTATTTGCATTGCCAGAATGTTTGGCATACCTGAACGGGACGCAATGGATTCGTCCAGTAATACAAATCAGCTTCAAAATCAACCCAATCTTTCTCAACTAGGTCGCTGTTAGGCGCACCTTTGGTGCTCAAATCTCCAAGGAAATTTGATGTTCTACCACCAACAATCTAAAACATTTTGCAATTTCACAACATTATTCAATTACCACAAAAAATAACTTCTATAAAACCTAACAAAAAAAAAAAAAAAAAAAAAA